TATATATATATATATATATATATATATATATATTGTTAGTTTGGATTTAGAATACGTTAAAGTCTATCAGATCCCAACGGCACAACAATAAAAACAAGACAATCGGCTATAAAGGGTAGACAAAGGATGAGTTTGTTGTGTATAATAAGTCCATAAATTCCTAACAAATATTAGCTCTATATTTACCAACCATATAACCTAAACATTAACAGTATATACATATTTATACAACATACAACAATTTGAAACAAGTGGACATAGGGAGGCAATACAGGATAATAACAAATACTTAAATTGCTTGAACTGAGATGGCTGACGAGTAAGGCTGAACCTTGGCAAGACAGTAGGTAATCACTGTGCCTTGGGTTTCCAGGATAGGTGATCCTGTGATCACTTCCCAAGAGTGAACTTGCTTCAAGAATTATTTGTATATTTGTATAAATATGTATATACTGTTCATGTTTTAGGTTAGGAAGTATGGTTAAGGGTAAATTATGAAAGCTGACACAACAAAATATCTTGTTTATTATTACCTGTTGAGATCTCAGTAAACTTTAACTAATCCCCAACTCTGTTTCATTATGACAGGATCCAACATTAAGTACCATATTTCTACCCCCTAGTTACTCCTTGATAATTATTCCTCCCAGTCACTTCTGTTCACAATTGCTTTACGGTGGTTTAAAGTTTCCTTCATATGTGTGTGCATATATTGGTATTTTCGTACAGTAAGAGTGACAGACGTAGGATATTAGGTTCCAAGTGTCATAAGGCATACCTGTTATTACACGTGGCAGTCGTGTAGTAAGTCTTATCGAGTGTAGGGAAGAATCCGGATCTGTTTAATGCTGTACCCTCGCTCCAGAGTAGGCTGTTCCATAGTCACTAGTTTAGGGTGAAGTGATATCTTGGGACGCCCCCCTCTACCAGGACCCCATAATTATAAAGCCTCAATTATTGTTCTTCTCATTATCTCATTCGGGGTCAATAATTCAAGTATCTAAGGGTTGTTAATCCGGATCTTTATATTAATGCCATAATACGCCCTTCCTGTTTCAAGTATCTAAGGGTTGTTAATCCGGATCTTTATATTAATGCCGTAATACGCCCTTCCTGTTTCAAGTATCTAAGGGTTGTTAATCCGGATCTTTATATTAATGCCGTAATACGCCCTTCCTGTTTCAAGTATCTAAGGGTTGTTAATCCTGATCTTTATATTAATGCCGTAATAAGCCCTTCTTCTTTCAAGTCTCTTATCCTTATCTAAGGATCTTCTCAGAAGGACAATATTCATAAGTGTAATTTCCCTAGGTATAACTTGGGTAGTTTCCGGGACTTTCTGGTTATCCACTGCCTTGATATTTTCTAGGGTAATCCACTTATCTTATCTTTTTGTCCATTAATTAATTTATCTAGGTTTTCTTAACAATGGCCACCTCAGGATTTGTTAAACTTGGTAGTCCTGGAGGAGTGGAAGAGCAAGATACCATTTCACATCTTGAAGCATATGGAGGAGCGTGGAGAGGTTAATTTAGGGCGTGCTGCTGAGCTGGCTGATGCGTACGCCTTGCTGGTGGGGTCACTGTGCTGTAGGGAACGTGGTACTTTCCGGCATGTTAGGTCCTCCTCTGATGATAACCTTGGGGACGTGAGTGGTAGGTCGAAAGGTCCCACATCTACCCCCCCCCCTGATGCAACCAAGTTTTATTGTTCTTACTGTAAAAAACCAGGCCATACGATCCAGTCTTGTAAACACCCAAAGTGTCGAACTGCAAAAAGTAGTTCCCTGGATCCCAAATCCAAACCAATAGCAACCACCAATATGGAAAGGCCCCATCAGGATCTCTTCTCTTCATTCACCTATGAGGGAAAAATTTCAATCATAGAGGGGTCTCGTTCTTTCCCTATTCGTATACTACGTGATACGGGCGCAGCACAATCTATCCTCCTGTTTAACGTCATTCCTGATATATCTACAGCATTTACTAATGAGAGTGTTCTAATTTCAGATCTCTCATCCCATTCTTCCTATCCCTTAGCTAAAGTGCACCTCCAATGTCCCTTGATTACTGAGGAAGTGCAAATAGCCATTAGGAAAGATCCAATGCCAGTGAGCGGCATTCATTTATTATTGGGTGATGACTTGGTAGGAGATCTAGTGGTTCCCAACATAAAGATAGTCGACTCTCCCTTACCTGTCAACTCCACCACTGACCTTGAAGAAACTACTCCTCACCTTTTCCCATCTTGTGCTGTCACCCGGTCACAGAGTGTGCGAAATGGGCCCTCTTCATCTAAAACCACCTCCAATATCTTCCTACCCACAGAAGATCTGTACAATAAGACCATTAGTAAGGATGAGCTTATTAAAGCCCAACAATCTGATCCATCTTTGAATATGAAAGACCTCAGTGTGGAACATTGTACATCTTCGGTTTACCACCCACAATCCCAAGGTTGCTTGGAACGGTTCCATCAAAACTTTCAAATCAATGCTAATAAACTATCTCCCCTCAACTATATAGTCCATACTCCTGATCGCAGAAAAGATTCACAACTTGTTCACATTAATCTCATGAAACTTTACCATTCCAGGCAGTCAGAGGAAGACATCCCAGAGGCTATAAGCCTACCTGTATTGCATACGGTTTTGTCAGGGCTGTAGCCGGAGACAAATGACATGGACCTATTGGAGAATTTAGACTTCCCTCTACCTAAAGAAAACCCTGCTAACAGTCACATACTCAACAACTTGGATGAGTATTTTTCTGTTCTGAATCCATCTCAAGCAAAAGATCTCACTAATTTATTATCAACATTTCCTAAAGTCACATCAGACCTCCCAGGGTTTTGCAATATACTTAAACATGATATTAAGCTAATCTCAGATGATGTACAACCCATTAGGTAATCAGCATATCGACTAAATCCACAAAAAAGAGAGATTATGAAAAAGGAGGTAGATTTTTTGTTAAAACATGACTTAGCTGAGCCTAGTACCTCCCCCTGGGCTTCACCTTGCCTTCTCATTCCAAAACCCGATAGCACTTTTCGTTTCTGTACCGATTATCGTAAAGTGAACCAGGTCACTGTCTCAGACTCCTACCCTTTACCTTTGATTGAAGATAAATAGACAGCATAGGCTGTGCCAAATTTATATCTACCGTGGACCTGTTGAAAGGATATTATCAAGTGGGACTCACGGATAGGGCAAAAATAATCTCAGCATTTATAACTCCATTTGGTCTTTTTCAATATTTGGTTATGGCGTTAGGCTTTTCTAATGCTCCGGCCACATTCCAGAGAGCAATCAATTACCTGATTCAGGACCTAGGTGGGACGTTCGCCTACCTGGATGACCTGGTGGTGGTGTCGGACGGCTGGGACGAACATCTGGTGCGTTTGGAGATACTGTTCGCACGACTGCAAGAGACTGGATTCACCATAAACCTGGCTAAATCTGCTTTTGGCCGGGCCTCAGTGACTTACCTGGGACATATCGTTGGGCATGGTATGGTGAGACCCAAGGACGCAAACGTTAAAGCCATCTTGTCCTTCCCCACTCCAAGGACGAGGAAGGAACTCATGCGCTTCCTGGGGATGTGCGGCTACTACCGTCGGTTCTGCAGTAACTTCTCCAGCGTGGCCGGACCCCTCACAGACCTTACCAGTTCTGCGGTCCCTTACATCTGGAACCAGAGGTGCGACCAGTCTTTCCACCGCCTCAAAGCCTTCCTTGCCTCCAAGCCTGTAGTCCACCCCCCTGACTACACCTTGCCCTTCCATCTGCAAATCGACGCTAGAGGCGTCGGAGTGGGGGCTGTGCTCCTACAACCCGACCCAACCACTGATGTCCTTCACCCTGTGGCATACTACTCCGCCAAGTTGAAAAAACATCAGACCAACTACTCGACCATAGAGAAGGAGGCCCTGGCTCTGGTGTTGGCAATATAGAAGTTTGAATGTTACCTCCAGTCTTGCCCACAAACAACCCTAGTCTTCACCGACCATAACCCACTCACGTTCATCCAAACCAACAAGACCTCCAACCAGCGAATCCTCCGCTGGGCTCTCCTCACCCAGCCCTATAATCTACAAGTCCGGCACATAATGGGGGTGGACAACCTGATTGCGGACTCCTTATCCCGAGCTCCAGTGGAAATGCAGCAGCTACTCTCCAGACACACCAGGTAATCACCTCCTTCGCGCCCGCGCTATGGAGGTCTTTGGAGGGGGGGTGTGTTACGAACCACGCCATCAATTGTCATGATCTACCTACCCAGCACTACGAACCACGCCATCTATTGTCCTGATCTACCTACCCAGCACCACGAGCAACGCCATCTAGGGACGAAACACGAGTATGACTAGTCTTAGTTACCACTCCGGGGTTTCCCTTCTCCATATCCTGGTTGTTGCGTCACCTCCTCCAAGTCTTCCTCATCAGCTCCAGTTCGATGAGAGTTCAGTTCACTCTGGGAAGTGACCACAGGATCACCTATCCTGGAAACCTACGGCACAGTGACTACCTACCGTCTTCTACAATACTCAGCCTTATTCGTCAGCCATCTCAGCTCCGCACTTAAGTATTTGTTTTCCTATATTGCCTCCCCGCGTCCACTTGCTTCAAAATTGTTGTATGTTGTGTAAATATGTATATACTGTTAATGTTTAGGTTACGTATGGTTAAGGGTAAATTATAGAAAGCTGAATATTTTGTTAAGGAATTTATGGTACTTTATTATACACAACACAAACTCGCATCCTTTGTCTACCCTTTTATAGTCCGATTGTCTTTGTTTTTTTATTGTTGTTCCCTGTTGGGATCTGGGTAGACTTTTAACTATATTCTAAATCCCCAACTCATAACAATATATATATATATATATATATATATATATATATATATATATATATATATATATATATATATATATATATATATATATATATATATATATATATATATATATATATATATATATATATATAACAGTTGCTATCCGTCCTAACCATGCTGCAAAGATGGTTAAAAATGAATAGGCTTAGGGCCGCTGTCTATGTTGCTAAGAGCTGTTTTAAGACTATTTAGTTATTTGTCACTGTGCTCTGTGTTCACTGATCCTGATCCTGGCCACCTCCTACTCTTGGATCAACTTGAAACACCACCACACTATCAGCACACCAACAGGAATCATTCTAGTGTCTAGTAAGACATCCTTCATCAATGGACTATTTCATTATATATCAGATTCTTGGCTACTCGTGTACTCTGGAGAGAGAGGAATACTCTTCGTAAAAAATTACTTTTATCTATTTACTCCTGGTGAGCTCCATAGGCCCACGTTCAGCTAAACGACAGCAGCATAGTGTAAATTGACTGTATGATCTTGCACTTTCACCAATTACACAGATATCCTATACGTTTCCTGATGTTTAACGGGTCATTGCTATTTCAATAGCTCGCAATCTTTTCATGATATCACTGTAAATAGTCTTGGTGTCCTGTTCATTTCCCTTAAGGTCAGAGTCCATCGTGTAGTCTCTGGCTGAAATCCTGTTGAGAACCTCCTCCTGCAGCGAGGCAGGGATGTGGATTTCATAGCGGCGGCGGTGAAGGCGGTCTTTGAGCCAGGCTATGCAGCCGGGCCATTTGTGCGGGGAGACGGGGTCCTCTCGCACCGTCACCACCACGGAGGGCCTGCGGGTGTCATGCTGTGGCCAAAGACGCACCTGGCACGCCCGGGTATCCAGCTGACAGTAATCGGCCAAGTGCTTCAGTAGTGGGAAGTCACACAGTTGCTCGATGCTTATGATGGCGTCCACCATACTATAACAAGACCACAAAAACATTACAATTAAGATACTTAATATCTTGAGCAAGTGTCTCCAGATATGTAATTCACAGGACTAAGCAACGCTGTGGTTGACCTCCTGTAACCTTGACGTTGGTTGAATTAAAGTAAAACGGGATAAAACTTTCCTATCCCAGGCCCTTATTTTAAAATGCTAGTAAAATTACTGTAGAAATAATTTGTCAATTTTTGAGGTATTCTTTATAGACAATATACATAAGACACCGAGTTTCCACCTCGAGTGCCATCAACGGCAGACAAAAGTTTCTACCTCAGACAAAAAGATTCGATTTTGGTCACATATGTACCGTGGGTAAAATTGCAGAGGCATTCAACGAGTTTATCAGTAAAGTGACAAAAAATAATTCAAAAGTGAAACTGTTAAGAATTTATTGAGTTCAAAAAATTTTCGATGCAAAAATCTAATGAAAATTGAAAATGATTATGAGTTAGATTCAATGTCTTTTCATCACATCCTAATTTATAATTTCCAGAGTCTACAAGACGCTCTAGTAAGAGGAAAACATTGGATGTATGACAATTTAATTATAAATTATGTCGATTTAATGTTTTTTTTTTAATTTTTGAACCAGCAATGATTTCATACTCCAAGAAAATTCAGGAACTTTATTTCAGATAAATTTGTTGTACAGTACTCTTAACCCTTTATAGGACAGCTCCACACTTAGGTGTTTTATTCTTGTTAACGTCACACAATTTTATTCAGCTGAGAGAAACCCCTGACCGCTAAAGGATTAATTGGATGATGGCTGACTTTACTTACCATGATGGCGATTACAGCAGAAAGTCTGGACGGTGTCATTGGGAACATGAATGTAGGTGATGAGAACGTGAAAGCAATGTGAGGTAAATTGTTATTGTGAGACGACAGATACCTGGCAAGACGCATGAGGTGGGCCGATGAGCGGAGTTCCCGTATGTCACTGACGGCCAGAGCTATCAGCAGGTTGGCCAACACAATGGAGATGAGGAGGATGAAGAGTAGGAAGATCAAGTAGCCAGTGTAGGGAAGGCTATTTAGGAGATTTACCATATTATCGTTGACATCTACCGAACCAACCATCATAGTCAGACTTTTGAGAAAGAGAAGTTGAACGTCCTTGTACACCGGGTCATGGTGGTTCTCCACGTTGAAAGCCAAGTACAAGGTGAGAGTGAAGCACACCAGCAGAGTGCAGTAAATGAGAAATATCCTCAGGAAATCCTCAGCCACCCGGATGAACATGGCAACGTAAAGACCATGTGAAGGGTACTTGCGGAGGATAAGAAGAAACTGGAGCTGAAGAAGGAGGAACACGATGGTGGCAACATGATGCTCCCAGTAAGCGATGTTGGCAGGTCCGTGGTGCCAAGAGGAAACCAATAAACTCAAAACACATAGAACTAAAACAATATTATGAATAAAACTCGGAGCTTTTATGTAGGCAATTCCTTGGATTCTAATGCGGTTCAACTGACTTAGTAAAATTATCAGTATCTGCACACACAAACACACCTTCATCCACAAGTAAGGCAGAGGGTCAGCCTCATCCCGGTTACACGAAAAGTCAGGAGCTGACGTGGTATGCTGATGTTGCTGTTCAGTTTGGTTGTTCGGGTTGCAGTTATTCCAGAGCAGCCGGTTGAACACGAAGAGACCTGTCAACAACGCGTAAACCACAAAATAGAGCAGATATCCCAGGAAGACGATTCTTGCTCTTTTCCACTTGACGAGTAGAAAAACATGACACATGGGGTGGGATAGAATTTCACGGTTGCCCGTCTCGACGAAATAAGATAGAAGTTGGCACTGCTGGGTGCCAGGGTCATTGATAAGCGCAGAGAAATCAAAAGTCACCGGAGATCGTCGGTTGCCTGCCACACTAGTGGTGAGCAGGTGGTCCAGCAAGCGCTGAAGACCGTCAGGGTTGGTAAGCATGAGCCACCTGAGGGCAGACACACCTCGGTAGTCTTTTTTTCGCAGGTCGGCACCACGCTGCATTAGTGCCACCATTACACTGAAGGCGCCAGCTTTTGCTGCTTTGTGCATTGGCGACTCTCCTTGTTTATCTCTCGTGTTGACCATCGCTCCACTCTCCAGCAGGAGGTTGACTATTGTTACATTGGAGCTGGCTGCTCCCTCATGTAGTGGAGACGTGCCTCTCATGTCATGCAAGTTGATGGCACCCGCACTGCTGCGATGGTCCAGGAGCATTGCAGTTATTTCCTCATGTCGGGCAACGACGGCGTAGTGCAGTGGCGTCTGGTCGAACTGGTTTCTACTGGACACTGACGCCCCTTGCTGCAGAAGCTCCTGGACGCCATCTACCCAGCCAAGTTGTACAGCAGTATGAAGAGGAGTGATGTAGAAGGAGCCACCGTGACCGTTGATGAGGTTTTCGCCAATGCGGAGGTGTTCCCGCAGCAGAGGGAGGGACTGCTTTTCCACCGCCCAGAACACCTGGTCTAGTTGCACATTGACGCTCATTCTTCTCTCACCTATGGGAACAATAAATTCCCTCACTCATGTGTGTGAGCGTGTGTGGCTCCTAAGTCCATGTAATTTTGCGAGGAACACTTTTCCACTGACCATAGACGATCATGTAGAATCTACGTGATAGTCTATGACCAGTCAGACGCTTCCAAACACAAAAATACATAGATCATAATGATACATAAAAATTTATATTTCCATTGTAAGCCAACGGTAACCTAGCCTTACAGAGTTAACACACACACATATATATATATATATACTGTATATATATATATATATATATATATATATATATATATATATATATATATATATATATATATATATATATATATATATTTCATGTAGATCCACAATGAATACGTGGATAAGATAAATCTTGATAAAATCACACGGGAAAAGGGAAACAACGGAGCACCTTAGCTTTAGTCTTTATTCAAGACATCTTCAGAGGCAACCTTCAGAGGTGCTCCGTTGTTTCCCTTTTCTCGTGTGATTTTATCAAGATATATATATATATATATATATATATATATATATATATATATATATATATATATATATATATATATATATATATATATATTTCATGTAGATCCACATTGAAAACGTGGATAAGATAAATCTTGATAAAATCACACAGGGAAAAAAGAAACAATAGAGTACCTTACCTTTCGTCTTTATTCAAGACATCGTCAGAGGAAACTGAATTAAGAACATAAGAACATAACAATGGAGGAAACTGCAGCGGGCCTATTGGCCCATACTGGGCAGTCCCGTTTACACCCAACCCCTATTGCTCATATAAGCATCCAACCTATGTTTGAAGTTACTCAGCTTATTCGAGTTAATGATGATATTTGGTTACTTGTTCCACTCATCCACTACTCTGTTTCCAAACCAGTGTTTACCTATTTCGCGCCTAAATCTAAATTTGTCTAATTTAAAACATTGTTACGAGTTCGCTCCTGGTTGGATAGTTTGAGTACCTTCGTAATGTCCCCTTTGTTTAGCACCTGACTTCCATTTATACACCTCTATCAGGTCGCCCCTCGCTCTACGTCTCTCGAGGGAGTGCAAATTAAGATGCTTTAACCTGTCTCTATACTCAACGTTCCTAATGCCCGGGATTATTCTTGTCATTCTCCTCTGAATTCTTTCCAAGGATTCTATATCCATTCTGTAATACGGTGACCAGAACTGAACTGCGTAATCCAGGTGTGGTTTCACAAGCGCAAGATACAGTTTTAGGATGACCCCGTTAGTCTTGTAGCTAACACTCCTTTGTATGAACCCAAGTACTTTATTAGCCTTGTTACGAGCAAAAACACATTGTTTACTTGGCTTAAGGTTCCTACTTATCATTACTCCTAGATCTCTCTCGCAGTCGGATTTCTCTATGGCATCATTGTTCATCTGGTATCTGGTTTCCCTGTTTACATCTCCTATACTGAGTACTTTACATTTGTCCACGTTGAATTTCATCTGCCATTTTTCAGACCATTCGAAAAATTTGTTTAGATCTTCCTGTAGTTTTGCGGAGTCATCGTCAGATTTAATAACATGTCCTATTTTAGTGTCATCAGCAAATTTACTTATGTTGCTGTCTATGCCGATATCTATGTCGTTTATGTATATAATAAATAATAATGGTTCAAGTACTGAGCCTTGGGGAACTCCACTAGTGAAGTTGCTCCAATGGGACTTAGTGCCGTTAATGCTCACTTGCTGTTTCCTGTCCTGTAACCACGCCCTAATCCTTTTAAGGATATTACCTTTGGTGCCATGTGCTTCTACCTTTCTAATTAGTCTTTCGTGGGGGACTCTGTCGAAGGCTTTGCTAAAGTCGAGATATACCACATCATAATTGTACCCCTCGTCCACCGATTCGAAAACTGATGAAAAGAATGTTAATAGATTAGTTAGACATGAACGCCCGCTTGTGAAGCCATGTTGGGAATCATTGATCAACTTGTGCTTCTCCAGGTGATTTCGAATAGAGTTTGAAATGATTGATTCTAGTAATTTGCCTACTATTGATGTTAGGCTGATTGGGCGGTAGTTAGAGGAGAGTGATCTATCCCCCTTCTTGAAAATCGGTATTACATTTTCTATCCTCCGGGATTCTGGTACTACACCTGTTTTTAAGGACATGTTAAACAACTTTGCTAAGGGCATACTAAGCTCTTCCTTACATTCCTTTAATACTCTGGCAAATATTTCATCGGGACCAGGTGACTTATTAGGCTTTAGTTTGTCTATTTGCTTACTAACATCGTTACTAGTCACTACTATCTCGCTTAATTTGTTTTCTTCACTATCTCTGAATAGAGTCGGTGCCTCGGGTATCATGTTTAAATTTACGGTGGTAAAAACTGTAGAAAATTATTTTTTCAAATTATTGCTCATTTCTCCGTCGTTGTCAGTGAGCTCTCCGGTATCTGACGGAGAGAGGCTTATTATTAGAAATGGCCATAACTATAAATTTAAGGTGTACAGAAAGCCTACACAGGTAGACGGTTTCATACATTTTTTATCGAGTCACCTGGAATCTACCAAAATGTCAGTTTTTTCTGCTATGTTTTTTGAGATGTTTGCGTATTTGTGACGCTGAATTTATTGATGAAGAACTGAAACACATTCGTTCCATTGCACAGAAACTCGGGTACCCTTCTGTGTTTGTTGATCGTTGTTTTAAAGGGCTAAAAATCCTTCCATTCCTCTCAAACCAGGCAAATTCCTACACTTAAGAATATTCTGACTGCCTTATCGCAATGAATTTGTCCCGTTAGTTCAGTCCCTTAAATTATTAAATATTAATGTTGTTTTTCAGTATAACTCAACCATTACCAATATATTAATCAAAAATAGCCCAACTTTGAATGTAAATGGAAGTGTTTATTGTATTCAATGTAGCAATTGTAATGGAAATTATGTAGGACAGACTGGAAAAGCATTGCAACTCAGAATCAAGCAGCACAAATACAATATCAGAGCAGCATCTGAAAGCAGTGCACTGTTCGTTCATGTTAGGAATAATAATCATCCCATTGATTGAAAAAACAGCTTAGAAATGTACAAATCATCATGTGTCACAGAAAGACTTCTGGTTGAAGCCAGTTTGATTAGGGAATTAAAATCAATAAACCTTAGTGATGGTCAGTACAAAACTGATAATATGTTACACAAATTTATTTGTCAGCGGCCCAAGGTTAAAAATGCTTTGAAAGCATTCGAGTTTGATGTAGGATAGATGATTATTTTTTACCTGACTTACCATGACTAGTTACGTCACCCTTTCTTTTAAGCTCCTTTGTGTGTGTGGTAGTGTTGGTGTGCGGATTAGTGGATGTCATGTTTATGACCTGACCTCATTGTTCGTAAGGTCACTATGTGTACTTAAACCTCTCTCGGTCTTTGTAATTCAGTTGCCTCTGAAGATGTCTTGAATAAAGACGAAAGCTAAGGTGCTCCATTGTTTCCCTTTGTCCTGTGTGATTTTATCAAGATTTATCTTATCCACGTTTTCATTGTGGATCTACATGAAAATAATGTATTTACAGGTATATATGAGGTTTTGCAGAATAGAAATAACTTTTTGTTTTATATTGCTCTAAATCAATGGAAATTCATTAGTAAATGGTCACACTTGTTCTGTTTCATGTAGGGCTTCGAATACTATCATAATATAGCAAAATTATACCTAAAGTAGGTTAAGTAAAGTTAGGGAGCGCATGGCATCAAAGGTAATATCCTTAAATGGATTAGGGCGTGGTTACGGGGCAGGAAACAGCGAGTGAGCATAAACGGCACTAAATCGCATTGGAGCAACGTCACTAGTGAGTTCCCCAAGGCTCAGTACTTGGACCATTATTATTTATTATATACATAAACGACATAGATATCGGCATAGACAGCAACATAAGTAAATTTGCTGATGACACTAAAATAGGACGTGTAATTAAATCTGACGAGGACTCTGTCAAAACTACAGGAAGATCTAAACAAATTTTTCGAATGGTCGGAAAAATGGCAGATGATATTCAATGTGGGCAATTGTAAAGTACTCAGTATAGGAGATGTAAACAGGGAAACCAGTTACCAGATGAACAGCGATGCCATTGTGCAATCCGACTGCGAGAGAGATTTAGGAGTAATAATAAGTAGGAATCTTAAGCCAAGTAAACAATGTGTTTTTGCTCGTAACAAGGCTAATAGAGTACTTGGGTTCATACAAAGGAGTGTTAGTTACAAGACTAGCGAGGTCATCTTAAAATTATATCTAGCGCTTGTGAGACCTCACTTGGATTACGCAGTTCAGTTCTGGTCACCGTATTACAGAATGGATATAGAATCCTTGGATACAATTTAGGGGAGAATGACAAGGCTAATCCCGAGCATTAGGAACCTTGAGTACAGAGACAGGTTAAGGCATCTTAATTTGCACTCCCTCGAGAGACGTAGAGTGAGAGGCGATATGATAGAGGTGTTTAAATGGAAGTCAGGGCTGAACAAAGGGGACATTACAAAGGTACTCAAACTATCCAATCAGGAGCGAACTCATAACAATGGTTTTAAATTAGACAAATTTAGATTTCGGCGTGAAATAGGTAAGCTCTGGTTTGGAAACAGAGTAGTGGATGAATGGAACAAGTTACCAAATATCATCACTAACTTGAATACGCTGGATAGCTTCAAACATAGGTTGGATGCTTATTTGAGCAATAGGGGTTGGGTATACACGGGACTGCCTAGTATGGGTCAATAGGCCCACTGTAGTTTCCTCCATTCTTGTGTTCTTGTGATCGTTTATGGCCAGTCAGAAGTTTCCCCGAAAGATAAGTGCATAGAAGTTATCGCTAATCTGCCATTATCCCTATTTAGCTTAACACAACTTTGGTTATTAATAAATTTTGAACAATAAATGACAAAAGGATACAAAATCTTACAAAATTTTGTGCACAGCTGTGATTCGAGCAATAAGATTCTGCAGGTTTGTCACCTTGGTCTTGTAGACCATATCTTTAAAAAATCACATAGGAAAATATCAAGGGAGGTTGTCTGGTGATCTTGGTGGACAAGTGATTGGTCCGCCTCTACCAATCCAGCGACCTAAAAATTTTTCGTTCACTCCAACACGATCACCAGATGCACACTGGTGGACGCCAACATGCTGAGCAGGCAAGAACTCGATTACGGCTTTGTCTTGCAGTATTGATTTATCATTTATGGTTCAAAATTGATGAGCTTACTTATTGATAAAACAAATCAGTATATTCATCAGTGAAAGGAGATTTTTTGCGCCTGTGGCTAATTTGAAAGAGTTAATCACCTACAGCAGAACCTTTCAGGTGATAAGACTTGAACAGATGCAAAACTTTTATGATGAAATTATAAATGTAATCGACTTACGTTTGAGACTAGAGCACCGGTTGGGCCGTGGTGACGACATCAAGAACCTGCGAGAGGAGAGAAAATCTTAATAAACTACAAGGAAAACGCAGACGAACAACAGGCTAAAAATAATACAGAATAATATTGCACACGACACAATTTTTCATGGAGATGAAATGTTCTAAATAAAAAGTTGATACTGAAGTAAAATAAAAATAAGAAGTAATGAAAATTGATTTTTTTGTATGTAAGTTAATGAGCGACTTAATTGGGATGAAATGCGCAGGGCTTCCATACATAGCAAAGTCTGTATAGTAGGCGACTTTAACTTTAGCCAAATAGATTGGATTGACCTAAAGGGTAACTCAGAATCAGAGGATTTTCTTGAAACAATCCTGGACTGTTTCCTAAGCCAACATATAACCGAACCCACCCGGGGTAATAATATACTCGATTTAGTTCTGTCAAACAGAGAAAACCTCTTTAGTAATATCGAGGTAGGGAATGAACTTACAAACAGCGATCACAAAGAAATTAGATTCCATTTAGAATTTCAGGACAGCTGTAAGGAAAATTTCCAGATTTCAGAAGGGCAAAATTTGATAGTTTGAAGAGGCAGCTGAGAGAAGGGGTATCACGCTTGGGGGTGAACTACATGACCTCACATGAGGTGACCTCTCACAATGTACCCACAGAGGGCGACCTCACCTTACCTGGAGGGAGACCTGATAACGGGATCTGAGGTTGCCGAGTTCCAGAACAATTTAAATAATAAGTTACTTAATGCACAAAGGCAGAACATACCATAAAGAAAACTCAGATCAAACAACAATGACCCTAAATGGATAAATAATTATTTAAAGAATATTTTTGGACAAAGGAGAATAAATCGTGGTGAAGTCTACCTCCGAGATTATTATAAGGTATTGGCCGGTTGGGTTAAGGCCGAGATAAGAAAAGCAAAGAGGAATAAAGAACAAAAGATAGCAAGGGAGGCGAAGGCAAACTCCAAGGGATTCTATCAATTGTATTTAAATAAATCAAGAGAAAAAATTGGACCATTTCAGTCAGATACCGGCGAGCTAATTGAATAAATATTTTTCAACAGTTTTCACCACTGGAAATTTAAACATGATACCTGAGGCACCGACTCTATACAGAGATAGTGAAGAAATAAATTAGCGAGATAGTAGTGACTAGTAACGATGTTAGTAAGCAAATAGACAAACTAAAGCCTAATAGGTCACCTGGTCCAGGTGAGATATTTGTCAGAGTATTAGAGGAATGTAAGGAAGAGCTTAGGATGCCCTTAGCAAAGTTGTTTAAACGTCCTTAAAAACGGGTATAGTACCAGAATCCTGGAGGATAGCGAATGTAATACCGATTTTCAAGAAGGGAGATAGATCACTATCCTCTAACTACCGACCAATCAGTCTAACATCAATTGTAGGCAAATTACTGGAAGCAATCATTTCAAACTCTATTCGAAATCACCTGGAGAGGCCCAAGTTGATCAATGATTCCCAACAAGGCTTCTCAAGCGGGCGTTCATGTCTAACTAATCTATTAACATTCTTTTCATCTGTTTTCGAATAAGTGGAGAAGAAGGAGCACAACTATAATGTGGTATATCTCGACTTTAGCAAAGCCTTCGACAGAGTCCCCCCACGAAAGACTAATAACAAAAGTAGAGGCTCATGGCATTATAGGAGATATTCTAAAATGGATCAGGGCGTGGTTACAGAACAGGAAACAGAGTGAGCATTAACGGCATTAAATCCCATTGGAGCAACGTCACTAGTGGAGTTCCCAAGGCTCAGTTCTCGGACCATTATTATTTATTATACTGCATACATAAACGACATAGATATCGGCGTAGACAGCAACATAAGTACATTTGCTGATGACACTAAAATAGGGCGTGTAATTAAATCTGACGATGACTGCAAAATTACAAGGTCTAAACAAATTTTTCGAATGGTCTGAAAAATGGCAGATAAAATTCATTGAGGACAAATGTAAAGTATTCAGTATAGGAGATGTAAACAGGGAAACCAGATACCAGATGAACATCGATGTTATTGAGAAATCTGACTGCGAGAGTGATTTAGGAGTAATGATAAGTAGGAATCTTAAGCCAAGTAAACAATGTGTATTTGCTCGAAACAAGGCGAATTGAGTACTTGGGTTCATAAAAGTAGTGTTAGTTACAAGACTAGCGAGGTCATCTTAAAAATATATCTTGAGCTTGTGAGACCCCACTTGGATTACGCAGTTCAATTCTGGTCACCGTATTACAGAATGGATATAGAATCCTTGGAAAGAATTTAGAGGAGAATGACAAGACTAATCCCGGGCATTAGGAACCTTGAGTACAGAGACAGGTTAAAAGCTTCTTAATTTGCACTCCCTCGAGAGACGTAGATCGAGGTGTATAAATGAAAGTCAGGGCTGAATAATTGGGACATTACGAAGGTACTCAAACTATCCAACCAGGAGCGAACTCGTAACAATAGTTTTTAATTAGACAAATTTAGATTTAGGCTCGAAATAGGTAAACAATGGTTTGGAAATTGAGTCGTGGATGAGTGGAACAAATTACCAAATATCATCACTAACTCTAATATGCTCGATAGCTTCAATCATAGGTTGGATGGATATATGAGCAATAGGGGTTGGGTGTAAATGGGACTGCCCAGTATGGCCCAATAGGCCTGCTGCAGTTTCCTCCATTCTTATGGCCAGAACTGGTTGTGATTGGGGGGTGGGGGGACATACGTTTAACCAACTCGCCACTCAGCTTATCAAATTTTGCCAACTAATGAGGATTAAAAGTAAAATGACCAAGCAAACTACAAAATTTTCTTTATTGAATGTTTAATTATTTAACACATTAACAAATATGATGATAAAGTAAAATCTTTATTCAAATGGTAGGATAATAAATAAATAAATAATAAAAAATATCACTGTAGGTGCGCGTGATCTAGGTATATGCTGATAACCACAAGGAAAGAAGAAAACACGAAGTTCCCAAGCGCTTTCGTGTAATTCACATCTTCAGGGGTGAGTACAGACTAGAGAGAGAAATACAAATCAAGGTGTATATATACAGAGGAGGGTGAGACCAGGTCCACAATGGTCAGGTATTAGGTAATGACCCTACTAATCTTTAAATAGCACACAACGGTTGGTGGTCAGGTCAGATGGTCAGGTGACCTGGCCTTCTCACCTGGTTACAAATCTTCTTAATTACAAAATTGTCCAGCTTGTACATGCCGTTACTCAAATTCATGTTGAATGCTTCGGCATGTTTAATAAGACTAGATTCTTTGATGTTCCTACTATCAATTGAATTACATGGTAATACTGAGGAGGCATTATCCCAGTCAATGCAATGCTTGTTATCCCTCAAATGAACAAACAGAGCATTGGATTCCTGGCCTGTCCTAACACTGTATTTGTGTTGTTTAATTCTAGTTGCAAGATCTTTACCTGTCTGGCCTAAGTAGAACATATTACATTCTTGTAATTAAGAAGATTTGTTACCAGGTGAGAAGGCCGGGTCACCTGACCATCTGACCTGACCACCAACCGTTGTGTGCTATTTAAAGATTAGTAGGGTCATTACCTAATACCTGACCATTGTGGACCTGGTCTCACCCTCCTCTGTATATATACACCTTGGTTTGTATTTCTCTCTGTAGTCTGTACTCACCCCTGAAGATGTGAATTACACGAAAGCGCTTGGGAACTTCGTGTTTTCTTCTTTCCTTGTGGTTATCAGCATATACCTAGATCACGCGCACCTACAGTGATATATATATATATATATATATATATATATATATATATATATATATATATATATATATATATATATATATATATATATATTTTTTTTTTTTTTTTTTCATGTAAATCACAATGAAAATGGATAAGATACTTGATAAATTAGAGAATTTGGATTCAAGACATCTTCAGTTGCCTCTGAAGATGTCTTGAATAAAGACGAAAGCTAAGGTACTCCGTTGTTTCCATTCTCCCGTGTGATTTTATCAAGATATATATATATATATATATATATCTGTGTGTGTGTGTGTGTATTTACTACTTGGATAAAATCAGCAGCATTAACATATTCATAAAAAAATAAACTTAAATTTTAAGTCTCTTATTTTTCTTAAGCTTCCAATTATCTGCAATCTTTTGAAGATTTAACTGATCAGTTATGCCATTTTCACAGGCATTGAGCAAAAGATTATGCAACCGTTTTCTGAGGTACTGTTTCGCAAGGGTGTTTTCAAAAGCTTAAGCCAGCTAAAAAACCTTTCACTTTTACATACGGAAGGTGGTGCTGTCAAGAATAACCTGAAAACTTTTGCCACATGAGGAAATAAATGATACTTTCTATGAGTATTCTGCACATTCTGCAGCTGAGCGAATGTTTTTTTTCTACATGAGGATGCTGCTCCACATATTCAGGAAAATTAATGTTGAACACTTCTAATTCAACTTGGAAAGATTTTATGTCAAGTATTTCGGATGGATAAGTTTCAGACAAATTTTTCATGGCTTTTATAAAGCTTTCTGAGTCATAGTCTGCAACATTAGGATCAAGAACTTTAGCAAAATATTTGAGTGAGGATTTCAGAATTTCACATTTTGAAGTCAACACAGAAATCATCATATCTAAAACTGGATTCATTTCCTTACAATAATAGGGATACAAATTATACTGAGCACTGGAGTTTGGATTATTATCATTTTTGGGGGGGCTTTTTCCTTTGACGGTGAATTCTCTTGAACTCTTCTTCTCCGTTAACATAAATATTTTTTGCAAAGTTGAGTGCAGCCTCCAGCGAATGTTTCTGAGCCTCATCATCACTTCGCATTGACTGAAGTATTTCCAAAGTATTTTTCATAGAGATAAGAGCTCCAGAAACATCTAACTCCTCAGTTTGCAACACATCTATCATGTGCTTAATTTTGCACATAATATTTTTCATAAACATCAAAGCAACAATAAAAATCAAAAGTCTTAATTTTGTATAGGAGACCA